TCGGTTTCGTGTTCGTGCGTGCCGTGCGTGCGGGCGAGGCGAAGCTGCGTGGGCGGGCGAAAGGAAATCCTCCTGTGGCTGAGGCGCGGCCGGACCAAATGTTTGGCGACCCGGCGTTCGGGGCCGCGCGGTGTCCCGCCGCTGTCCCACTGGTGCCCCGTCGTGAGATCGATAGTGAGATCGATAGTAAGATCGATTGTGAGATCGATAGTGAGATCGATAGTGAGATCGATAGTGATATCGATTGTGAGATCGATAGTGAGATCGATAGTGATATCGCTTGTGAGATTGATCGAGTGAGATCGATCGAGTGGGATCGATAGTGAGATCGATCGTGAGATCGATCGAGTGCGACGTTGGCCTTCCAGCCGTTTGCCCTGTTTCGGCTAGCGGTGCCCTCGGATGTCGGCGTGAGCCCGAAAGAGCAAGAAAAACAGATTTTCGATGGCGGTGCGTCGTTCTCGACCGCCGAGGGTCCGCCGTTGAGCAATATTTCGACGCGGTTTACGCCGTGGCGACGAGCGGGGCTTCAGGAGGCTTCAAACAAAAAAACCGCCGTCGTCGTTCGCCGCCGTTTGGCAGGTTCCCGGGGTAAGGGGATGGTACCGAGGCGCCCAATAGCGAAGGGTGACGTAAACAACTCGACACCAAAGCTCCCAAGAGCGAGCGGCAACGCAACAATCTCCACTGGCATCGTCAGAACAACAATCACCGCTGTTGCCCATTGCTGGGCCCCTTCCTCCCCCAACCTCCTTATCACCCGCAGGGTGGTCGTATAGGTGTTTGTATATATACATATACATATATATATATATATATGTAGAATCGGAAATTGGGGGTGAACCGACGTGACACGGAGACCCCCCCTACCGGGAAATCGATTTCGGTTTCGGGTTCGTGTCGTGCGTGCCGTGCGTGCGTGCGGGCGAGGCGAAGCTGCGTGGGCGGGCGAAAAGAAATCCTCCTTTGGCTGGGCCGCAGCCGGACCAAATGTTTCTCCTCCGGCGGCGGGTGTCCCGCGGTGTCCCGCCAGTGTCCCGCTGGTGTCCCGAAATCCTCCTGTGGCTGGGCCGCGGCCGGACCAAATGTTTCTCTTCCCGCGGCCGGTGGCCCGCGGTGTCCCGCCGGTGTCCCGAAATCCTCCTGTGGCTGGGCCGCGGCCGGACCAAATGATTCTCCTCCGGCGGCCGGTGGCGCGCGGTGTCCCGCCGATGTCCCGCTGGTGTCCCGAAATCCTCCCGTCAAATGGTGGCCCGCGGTGTCCCGCCGTGGGTTGTGCATTTCAAAACATCGCCGCTTGCGGCGAGCTATTCCATGTAAGTCTGCATGCAAACCGACATGCAGACCGACAGCGCTTCACGACAATGTCGAGTGCGCTTCGCCAACATCGCCACATCACATCACGCTCACGGGCACAATCGCACTACTCACTAGACTCCGCCCCGCAGGCATCGTCAGAACAACAATCACCACTTTTGCCCACTGCTGCCCCCCAACCTCCTCATTGCCCGCAGGGTGGTCGTATAAATATATGTCGCAGAATGAGGGGGCCGAACGGTCATTCATTGTCTCTGGGTGCTTGGCTGACGTGGGATTCCGCGATACGGATTATTGTTGAGGTGGTTGATGTTGCTGCTGTCATTGGTGATGTTGTTGTTTTTGTTGCTGTTGCTGTTGGTGTTGTTGTTGTTGTTGTTGTTGTTGATGCTGCTGTTGTTGTTTGTGTTGCTGCTGTTGTTGTTGTTGTTGTTGTTATTGTTATTGTTGTTTTTGTTGTTGTTTTTGTTTTTGTTTGTGTTGTTGTTGTTGTTGAACATTTTTACTTCTAAAGAATAATTATTGTTGGGGCCCCTGGTGCACGACCCCCCCGCCGCGCCTAGGCCGCAGCCACGTTTTCATCATTTTCGTGAGGAAGTCTCAGGAACAACGGGTTGGTCCGGATCCGGTTGTGTTGTTACGATCGGTTTTCCCTTGCAAAAAAAAATAAACTAAAGTGAACATTTCTTGTTCTAACATATCCAAACTTCAAGAATCCCTTGCAAAAAAAAGGTAAAGTGGACATTCGCGCGCGCAAGACGAAATCCTTCCAAAACCTTAGGTCTCGTAGCGATTTTAATATAAAAACATCAAAAAAAAAACCAATGGTTTTTTCAAACAAAAATGTCAAAATTTCATCCCGCGCGCTCTTGCGGATTCGTAGGAAACCCACAACTTTTTAAACATTTCTGTCAAACGGGCTTTTGCGAGCAACTTTTTCGAACTTCTGCAACAACGGTTGCGCACCTGCCAGGGCCATCATCCCTGTCAAATAATACCATGCGGGACACATTCGTTTTTTCTTCGCGCGCGCACGCCGTCGTCGTCGGCCGCGGGGCCCTGAATAGTAGCCACGGTCGTCCGCATGCCACGAAGTGAAGTGTCCGAACGTCATAGGGCGGGAAGCTGGGTGTGGGTGGTGGCGAAGAGTCGTTTGGAAATTTGGTAGAGCTTGAACCGGCCCCCCCACAAAGTGGGGGTATTGCCCGCCTCCTATGAAAACCCTGGCACTGGTGAGAACGGAGTGTCCCCACGTGCTAGTAATTGTTGTTGTTGTTGTTGTTGTTGTTGTTTGTGTTGCTGTTGTTTGACTGTTATGTTTTTCTTTGTTTGTTTAACTGTCTGTCTGTTTCTTTGTTTGGCGTCGTCCGCCCCGCGACCCGGCCCGCGACCCGCCCTGTGACCCAACCTCGACCCGCCCACGACCCATTCCGCGACCCACCCCGCGACCCACCCGCGACCCACCCCGCGACCCGCCCGTGACCCACCCCGCGACCCACCCACGACCCACCCGCGACCCACCCGCGACCCACCCCGCGACCCAGCCGCGACCAACAGGCGACCCACCCGCGACCCACCCGATCGACCCGCGACCCACCCCGCGACCCACCCACATTGGTTTAACGAAAAATCGGCGACTGCGGCGGGCTCGTTGTATAATTTGACAAAGTTGGGCGCCTGCGACGTTTTTTTTTTTTTTTTTTTTTTTTTTTTTTTTTTTTTTTTTTTTTTTTTTTTTTTTTTTTTTTTTTTTTTTTGTTTTTGTTTTTTTTATGTTTTGCTGTGTGGTTTTTTTGTTGATGTTTTTCTTTGTTGTTTTTTTTTTTTGTTTTTTTTGTTTTTTTTTGTTGTTTTTTTCCAGAGGCTCGCACGCTGCAAACGTCCCCGCCGCCCCCCATCAATTTCATCCGAAGCTGCGGGGGGTGCTACGCATATGGATAGCCAGACGCGAACGAGAGGGGAAATCTAATATACTGGAGGGAAAGGAAGACGGGATACATATACATATATACATATATATATAGAGATAACCATGGACAAACAAGAGAGATATATATAGGAAGAGAGAAAGAAAGAGAGAGAGAGAGAGAGAATGAGAGAGAGAGAGAAGGAGAGGGATACACAAGCAAAACACATAAACATAGAGAGGGAGAGAAGAAGAGAGAGATAGAGAGAGACAGAGAGAGAGAGAGGACAAAAGAGAGAGAGAGAGAGAGACAAACAAACATATACACCAACAACACACACAACAAACAACAAGGGATGGCACTGCGGGGATGCCGCCGGGGCCGGGGCGTCCGTCCTCCTTCTTCTCCGCATCGACCTCCATCGGCGCGTCCTCCGCCTTTTTCTCCTCGCCCTCTCCTTCGGCCTTGTCCTCCGCCTTCTTTTCTTCGCCCTCCGCCGCGGCCGCCTCCGCACCGCTGCCAGCGCGCTCGCCGCAAAAAGAGGATGGGCGGAGTGGGGGGGAGTGGAGGAAGGGGAGGCAGGAGGAGATCGGAGGGCGAGAAAGGGTGGGAGGGGAGCGGGAGGGGGGGAGAACAGAGACTGGGGATGGGGGCGGGAGGAAAGGACGAGCTGGGTGCGCCCGCGCCAAATCTGGCATCGCACCCCTCCCTCCAATTATTCTCCATTGCGCCTATATGGTCCTTACCCACTCCAACAGAACCACATCATCGTCCGATGTGCAATCGGAAAGGGGGAGCTGCGCGTATAGGAGGACGGGGAAGAGGAGGAGGACGAGGAGGAGGAAAACGAGGAGGACGGGGAGAGGGAAACGGGAGAAGAGGAGGAAGACGAGGAGGAGGAAGAGGAGGAGGAGGACGTGGCGAATGAGCAAGAGCATAGAAAGAAAATGTCGAAGAGGAGGACGAGGACGAACAGCAGCAGCAGCAGCAGGAACTGGAGTGGATAATGGAGTGGAGAAAGCGCGAGGAGCCAAGGGAAGGCGAACGAGGAGAAACAAAAAAAGACGACAACGATGAAAAAGAGCCTGGGTCCGGAAAAATTGCCCACGCTGGGGCGAGGGCGCCATTCTGAACGACGGAAGAAGAGCGCCGATTCGAAATTTGGGCCCGCGCTACAACGCGAACGCCATGCCATTTTGGAACACTGAAACCACTCGGTTTGCACAGCACCGTGGGGCATTCGCCTGCAAAACGCAGCTCCCCCTAAAAATGGGGCATGCCGGTCACTGCCCAGCATGGGTAACTCTGACATGCCTTCAACAACCCGTTAAGCTGTAAATCGATGGATACGAAAGGTCACGGGAGGAGGAGGAGGAGGAGGAGGAGGAGGAGGAGGAGGAGAAACGACGACGAACCCTCTCCCTGTCAGCGCGCTCGGCAGCGAGCCCGCGGTGCCCGTTTCTCGATCTCTTAAACAGCTTTGATGCATGATGCACGGCAGCGGAAGCGCGGCGCGGCGGCAGGGAGCAAGCAGGAGGAGAGGTTGGACAACTCCCCCCGCGGCGGGGCGAGCAGGCCCACAGTTTTAACCCACCCCCAGGGGATCCTCGGGTTCCTGCCCCCCCCCGAAGCACATTGATTGACCCCCAGGCGCCCAGCCCGAAACAAACTGTGCCGCGCCAAGGGAGGGGGCGCCGATGCTGCCGCGGGATCTCCCCCCCGGGGGAGGGCCGGAACGGACCGGCGAATCCCGCGCGTAAGCCCCTGACATCACACGCGAACGTTGAAATTCAGGTACAAGCACTTTGTCCCGTTCTTGTAGATCATGTAGTGCAACTCTGTCTGAAACGCTGTCAACAGTATTTCACCTTGCACGGCTGAAGTATTGCTCGTATCCATCTGCAGCCCAGCGCTGCCACTGGTTCCCGCTCTCATTCCATACGTGTTTGCCTCCATTAGTTGCGTCAAAGCACTAGTAGGTGTTCCACCAGTTTCTGGTGCCGGCGTAACGAGTATGTGAGTCGCACGACTGCTTGAAGCACGACTTTCAGACAACGGCCCATCATGACCCTGACACGGCCATCGGCAGCCGCGGCCATGACATCGCGCAGCGGCGGCGCGGAAGGAAGGGGAGCAACACTGGATGCACCGGCTATGTCGTTCCGATAACGCTCGTCATCAACTTCCACGGTTTGCCAAGGATTCGCGCCAGGGGCGCTGCCGGCTGGGCTGGTGGCGTCCTCATCTCCAGGAGCTGCAGCATCTGCTGCAGCAGCTTGTTTTGGATCAGGTGATGGCGCATTCGGTGGCTGCGTCGCGCAAAAGGCTGCAGCGCCTTGCATCGGATCATCTGTCGTTGCAGCAACATCGGCCGAACCAACGTCAAGAAATCCATTCTTCGCGATTGCGCGCAGGATTCCACTGGCCACTGTATCATTGCACTGGCACTGCTTGGCAATCCATCGGCCCCAAGACTCGGCACGGTGGCCCTACATTGATCCCTTCGACTCGCCATGGCCAATGTAATCAACCATCGTAGCTTGTGTCGGAAAGGGATCCGCGCCTATTTGGGATTTAAGGTTCTTTGATGGATGTTTCCAACATATCAGAGCTTCAGATTGCCTCCCTTCTTTTCTCATCAAATTCGAATGTATCTCTCCGTAACTGGTGCGGGCAATGTGGAGACTCTGGGAGCGTCGGGTTCTGAACGTCTAATCCAACCAGGCCTTCGGGCGACTGGTGGTCTAACGAGGGTATCTTTTCTCTTCCACCGCCCCTCTACCACTCGGTGAGGGGAACCCCCTCCCTCCCTGAGGTTGTTTTTCGGGGGGGGCGATGTGTCACGGCCCATGGGAGGGCCGATGTTTGACACCCTTCGCGAGGATCGTGGCCACCGATGGGCCGATGAGGGGGGGGGGCTACGTCGAAGGCCCCCCGAGAAGCGCCCCAGGGCCCCCAAGAGACCGCCGGGAAGACTCCAAGGGCGCCCCAGGAGGCATCGGGCCCAACAATATGTTTATCGAGAAGCATCCCGATGAGGATCTCCGCGGTCCTGGGCTGCTCCTTGACCTCGCGCGCATCCTTGACGCCGCAGGCGATCGAGCAATCGCCCGCCGGATGCTGATGTTCTCACGCCGGGAAAGCATCTCGACAGGGGCTGTCCCTTCGGCTTCTTGCATTACGGGGAACATATGATCATCGAGCGCGCTACCAATTAGATTGGAAGCCTGCGAAAAGGGAGTCATGCTCCATGCTTTCATCGTCAGGGACTTTGGGACGCTTCGCCGCTGGAGCCCCCCTTGCGTTATCTCTCGCGAGTTTCGTCTGGTACGCGCCGATTGGCCTTCTTCCCCTGATGGGTGAGAATTCGGAACTCTTGTCATCGTCTTCAAGGTCGCTGAGAGATCACGATCCAACTTATCATCCCGATCAGCTGGTTGCACCAGTGTCGAGACGCTCTTTTCAGTCGGACCAAAAAGGTCGTCAATCAAATATATGACGGGAACAGCTGGGGAATCTGGCCCAAGACGCAATTTGTCGAATTACTTTGATGATCCCTTGTGGTCTCAAATTGTACAAGTGAACTGTGATCTCTATGCATGGTAACTTGCACGTCAGGTGCAACCACCGAGATTTCGGCTGATAGCGAATCAGTTGTCAAAAAAACGCGGTTGTCTCTTCACTGCTCAGTATGGGTAACTCTGACATGCCTTCAACACTCCTTTCAGCTGTGAGTCAATGGATATGAAAAAGCAAAGGAGGCATATGGACGACGATGACGAACGTTCCCCCCCTCAGCGCGCTCAGCAGCGGGCCCGCGGCGACCGTTTCTTGAGCTCTTAAACATCTGCCATGCATAATGCATGGCAGAGGAAGTGTGGCGGAGGCGGCATGTAACAAGCAAAAGGAAAGGTGAATCAACTCCGTGAAACTAAGCGATGTTAAAATCCGGTGACAAAAAAAAAGACGCAGAGAAGGCCGGACAAAGAAGAGTTATACCGCAACCGTGCAAGTGTGGACAAAGAGGGGTGGAAAACGCAACATGTCGGAAAATGGCACCGCCCCGGCCCGTGAGCCACGAGTGCTCAGCGGACGCGTCGTATGCTGAAGAGGGGGAAGGGGGGGGGGGAGGAAGGAAGGGAAGGGAGGGAGGGAAAGGGCAGGAAGGGAGAGAAAGGGGAGGGGGGGGGAAAGGGGAATGGGAGGGAGGGGCAGGACGACGGGGAGGAGCAGGGAGGAGCGGGCTCCTCCTCGTCCTCCCTCGTCACCTGTCCTCCTCATCCTGCTCCTCCTCATCTTCCCTTCTCCTCCTCCTCCCACTCCTGCTTACCCCTTCTCGTCTCCTCCCACTCCTGCTTATCTTCTTCTCATCTTGCCTTCCCGTCTCGACCCTTCCTCCCCTCCTGATCCTGCTCCGCCCACTCTGTTCTGGCCCCCCATCTCATCATTCTGCCTCCTGCCCCGCTTCGCCCAGCCCCCGCCCCATGGAGCAGTGCACAAACTGACGGAGGCAGCAGTCCGATAACCGAAGCATCAGTCCCTTGATTGCACGCGATGGCAACGAAGCAGGTCCAACAAGCCATAACTGGACCCCGAGCAAGATCTTCACAACACCCCACACGACGCGTCAAATAGAACAGTCCCCACTCAACAAAGCTGCGACGGCGACGACACCGCGGGCAAACGCCCGCGATGATAAACTCTGGGCCGTCAGAATGAGCGAAGCGATAACCGAGACTGCACATGCGCAGCAAGCCATGCTTTTATTCTCCCCACTCTGCGGCGCGAGAGGGCGATTAATGAAAAAGGGCGGAAGCAGATCAAGGGAGGAGCTCCTTCCTTCCCATTCCTCCTTCATCCCTCGTCCCTCCTCCTCCTTCATGTGAGCGACGAAAACAAACGGGTCTTAAGCAGTGTGGCGCAGCAGCCCCTACGCTGCGGCTTTCGCGGGCCGTCACCCTGGCACACCGCGTGGAAACGAGAGCGCTTACGCGCGATCTTACGCGGCCAACTCATACGCGCCAGTACTGGTGAAGACGACTCCCTCTTTCTACGTCGCGCCTGTGCTCACGTGGGCGAGGTGGATTGGGGAGGGCGAGGAGGCAGAGGAGGGAGGGGGATGGAGAAGAGATGGGATCGGCTACGCGCCGGAGTGACCCTCGGCAAGAGGCGACCTCTGGTGCACGGCTGTCGGGGGCCATGCGGGAGGCCTGACCCGAGCAACCTGAGCGCGACATCTGGTGCTGGCGGGACCCCTCCGTGTCCACAACAACGGACACTCCAGCGAAAGATCACGCTTTCGGCGGTGGACAAACCTCCCTTTAGTAAACCTCCCCTTAGCGAAAACTGCCTGTGACCGAAACCGACGGACCTGGACCCGCAAAAATAACGGCCGCGACGCCCTCTCGCGAACCGAAAACGGCCAATTCCTTAATCGACGTGTCAGGGCAGGAGGTCTGTCCCCCCCCGACTCTTACGCGTACGGCAGGTTCGTGTCGTGCCGACCGCGGCGTTTGTTTCCGACCCCGCGGGGATCGTTCAACCTTGAACGATCGGCCGTTTCCGAAAACTCCGATCGTTCAACACCGACCGATTCGGTCGCCAACGGCGTTCAACCTTGAACGCCGGCAGCGGGGTCGCCGCCGGTCGACACGACGCGAACCTACCGTAGCCGATGGGATGAGGCTCCCTCCTCAGATCTTTTCCCAGGATTCTGGCGTTTGGATCTGCGGGGATTGCGGGCGAGTTCTTTGGCCAGCTCGCCATGCGCGAGCTGGCCAATCCCTGCGATCCCCTGCGGGTTTCCAGGAAACGGGTTTGACAAGGGCCTGCGGCCAAACAAAATGTCCACGCAATGTACTTGTTTTCGTGACTTCGTCAAGGCATCGTCATTGAGGACACCCAGGCCCAAAGGTACCGATATCGCTACTCCCTGGACATCTCCTGGGGTGCGCTCTGACCCGAGCTTCGAAGCGAATCCGACGGTGACGACGGGGGCCTCCCAGGAGGCGCAAGAAGGCGAAAACGAAGGTGGGGAGGGGCATGGGTACCCATCGGCTGGAGAAGTAGATAGAAACATGAAGCAGCAAGGAATCCCACCAGCCCTCTGGGCGTAGGTGGTCTAACGAGATAATTTCTTTCCTCTTCCAAAAACCCCTCTTCTCCTTCGGGGAGGGGTTCTCCCCTCCCCCTACCCCCCCCCCCCCTGGACCTGGACGGGGCGCCCCGCGAGGTGGCAGAGGGTACTTTTTCGGCCCCTGGGAGGGCCAATGTTTGACACCCCTCACGAGGATCGTGGTCCCCGATGGGGGGGGACCAACATAAGGGACCCCCCTCTTTTGATCGATAACCTCCCAAAATGGCCCCACGAGGCACTCCAGGCCTCCCAAGAGGCTTCCAGCAGGGCCCGAAGAGCGCCCCAAGAAGGCCCAAGAGGCCTCCAAGAGGCACTCAAGGGGCCCCCAAGAGGCCCCCCAGCGGCCTCACAGAGCCCAAGATGACCTCCAAGTTGGCTCAAATAGCCCAAGCTGGCTCAAAATGGTCCCCAAAATGCCCCAAACGGCCCCAAGACCTTTCCAAGAACGCCCAAGAGTGCTCCAATAGAGCCCAAAAAAACGGGTTGCCGGCTCCTGAAAGGGGGAGCTGAGTTGGGGACCCCCCATCCTGCAATCGATGGCCTCCGAAATAATCCCAAGAAGCCCTCCAGGGTTACCGAGAGCGCTCCAAAGAGGGCTCCGCGAACTCCCAGAGAGCACCGGCAGCAGTAGCAGCAGCAACAACCGCAAGAATACGTCCAGATGGTTCCATGAGTCCTCGTCCGCGTCGTCCTCATCCTAATTTTCGTCCTCCTCATCCCCGTCCTCATCCACGTCCTCGTCCTCCTCTTTCTCCTCGTCTTCATCCTCATCATCCTGTTGTTCTTGCCCTCGCCCCCACGCGGCACCCAGGGATGGCCCGAAAAAGTTGTCCAAGGTCACCCCCTTGCTCGTTGTGTTTTTTCTAGATGTGTTTCTTCGTCCCTCGTCCCGTCAGCTCTGAAGGCCCAGATTTCTGAATGGGCTGGTGGGGATATTTTTCGCGGCCGCAAGCGAAAGCGCAGGCGGCGTCAAGGGTCGACCCAAGCTACGGGCGGAACCTAAACTTGGTGGGGATTGTTGTCCGTCGCAGCCGCAAGCTAAGGCGCATGCAACGTCAGAGGTCAACCCGGGCTACGGGCGAAACCTACTTGCCCAGCGGACGCTCACGGCGGCCGATGCGGCCGCCGAGGGAAGCTGGGGGGGCGCCGGGGGCTGCAGGCAGACTGCGCTTGGTGGGGATACCTTGTTGTCGCATCGCAGGCGAAGGCGCCAGCGGCGAGTCGAGCCGGCTCGGGCTACGAGCGGAGCTAATTGCCGGCGCGCGCGCAGGTAGCTTGGTGGGGGTACTTTTTGGCTTGCGGGCTCGCGAAGCAAGTCGAAAGCCGTCCGATCACTAGCTGGGCCGCGACTAGGCAGCAAGCAAAGAGAGGGACAAGCGAAACGATCGCGCGGGCATCCATTCAGAAGGAGCACCAGGAACGGCACTCCCAACCCAGTGGCGTGGAAATCCCAGTGGCGACCATCAAGTAGGCGCAGCCAAAATGGCGCGCCGGCGCGACCATGAACACGCAGAAGTCGATCACCCGGCGTGAGTCGGCATAGGGCCCGGCGAAAACGAGCAGGTCCGACAGGCACTCCAGGGAGACATCCATGCCGTAGGTGACGCAACAGCATCGTGTCGGCGTCGAAGTGAAAAGGGGGCAGCCTCGTCACAGATAGGACTGCAACCGGCAGATCCTTTGGCATGTACACCCGGTGGCACAGGTCGAAAGCGAAGTTTATGTAAGAAAAAGCAGCCGACGGGCGCCCAGAGCCACACATGCCGAAATCCCTGCACCGACGAGGACGGCACCGTAGCGAGACCCCACGGAAACCAAACGGTCACCAGTGGAGGCTGACACCGAGCAGGAGCAGGCCAGGGGCCACCTGGCCGCCCATCACCTGCGCGGCCACGCATGAAATTCGAAGCGAGCCCTCACGAAACCCTCCCGGTCACCAGTGGAGGCCGACGCCAGGTCAGGGGCCACCTGACCATCCGTTCCCAGTGTGAACCTTGCATGGTACTCAGGCTGTCAGAGCACCATCGGACAGCAGTATTGGCGGCGACCCCAGCCGCGCGGGATAAACCCGGTGAAACGAGGGAGAGGAGGGGAAGTGCGCGCCAGGCACGTTAGGCAGCCCGTTGTGGCAGCTAGCCGCTGCGGCAATAGGACGCAGGAGACGCGAGCATCGAAGCCCACTGAACCCTTTCGGCCATGGGCAGGGGGGGGGGCGCCGGCTGAAGGCAGCCAGTAGGCACCGCACCGCCCAGTCCCGGTGCAGTACATGATCCCAGTGACGCAGGAGAGGGAGAGTCAGCTAACCGCTGAAGCATAAGGAGAAGAAGGCGGAGAGCTCACCATAACCCTGCGTACACTGACGCGCGCGCCAGGCGCCCGGCATCGAAACTCACGCCAGTAAACCCGCCACTGGCGCCAGTTTGTCGTTGTTCCCCACGCGAAACTCCAGGGGAAGCTGGGCTCTTTCGGCCGCGAAATAGCGTGCAGTCGCGGAGGAGGAAGTCCTCCATGGAGCTAGCGCACCACCCCATATGCGCCAGCGGGCGAAGGCAATGCATGTTTTTTTGTTTAGCCACGCACTAGTTACTGCAGGAGCCCCCAGGGAGGTGCAGTCGATGATGCATTCCTGGCGCTCTTCAATGGGGCGCATGGCAGGGGCAATCGCGGCGGGCTGCCAGTCTGACGCCAGCATTGAGCCGCAGTGACTGCGAACGAGGCAGATTTGAAGGGAGAGCAAGGGAACGCGGCTAACCGCCGCAAGCACACGAGAGCGAGATAGCAGCGCAGTCGCATGGCGCACCGCATAACCGGTGCGATGACAGAGCCCTATCTCGTGGAAGCTGGGTGATGCCCCGCGCCCAATATTACTGACGATACCGTTCCTCGTGCCATGAACTCCATGGGCTCTCGGTTACTCGGTTCCTCTTCCCTGCCTTGCCCAGTGAATCGGGTCCGTCCTTCGCCCGGC